CGGTTTCCCCCACGTCGACAACCCTTTAATAATTCGACACGGCTGATGATGGTCCGCGTACGTATCGGCATTGCAGGCCGCTATTGACGGCAATTCTCCCGCTTGACCGTTCTAACCACACGCCGTCTCTACGCGAGCCTCTCTCTTGGCCCCTATTCGATATGCCATGCCGGGAAAACAAGATTAAAGTTAGAGCCCATCTCGGCCAGATTGAGTGGTAAGCTTCATCTTGAATGACACACGAGCGACGGTTGTCCCACTGTTTGCATAATGTGGGCGGACGGAGTGTCAGGGTTTACAGCCTCGATGCTACTCTGCAAGTGGGAGGAGACGGGGCAATGCGACACAATTTGCCCGCCAACCGATTGATTCGTTTGGGTTGGGTGTTCGCATTTACCCGTCCCTATGGCGGGATGGGACGAGAGAAGTTTATTGCTCAGCTGCATAAACCGAGCTCGGTCAACAGGGGGGTGGCTGGCAAGGCAGTAGATAAAACTGTCACCGATACGGGGGATTGATCTCCGCCAATTGGACAATGGATTGAGCTCTTCGTCGAGGTTGCGTCCGGTCAGGGCAGCGTGCTGGGGTTCGACTTTGTTTAAAAGCCCGGGACTTCAGCTCTCCAATTCGTCTCGTAGGATCAGGCCTCACTCTCGAGTCTCCTTCATTGTCTTTCTGTGGTGATCAAGAGAACAAGATTTCCCACTCTCCTTCGTTTGCAATCATGTACGGACTGCCAATCCTCGTCGCGGGAGCCGCCCTCTCGGCTGGAGCTGCTGCCGCAGACTCGACGTCGTACCTCAAAGTCATGGCTGATTCCTACATCCGACGTGGTGTGCCGGCCGGCTATCACTACGGCGAGGCTACTCTATACACGGGCCTGGAGACCACTCTCACCCAGACCAAGAACGAGAGCATCAAGTCGTGGTACAAGAACCAGATCGATACCGGTGTCCTCGGCGAGGACGGCAACCTCATCGACTGGAACCTGACCTACTACTCGCTCGACGACTACCGCATCGGCAACAACCTCATCTGGTGGCACGAGCAGACGGGCGAGGAGAAGTACGCCGCGGCCGCCAAGGTCATCCGCGAGCAGCTGAACCGCCACCCGCGCAACGCCGGCGGCGGCTTCTGGCACCGCCAGCCCAACTACCCCAACCAGATGTGGCTCGACGGCATCTTCATGGCCGACAGCTTCTACTCTAAGTGGACCAGCGTCTACGACCCGGACAACTCCACCGCCTGGGACGACATCATCCTGCAGTACGACCTCATCGAGGAGCACACCCGCAACCACACCACCAACCTGCTCGTCCACGGCTATGACCATGAGAAGACGGCCGTGTGGGCGGACCCCGTCACGGGCGCCGCGCCCCTCGTCTGGGGCCGCGCTGTCGGGTGGTACTACATGTCCCTGCTCGAGGCCATCGAGACGTTCCCCGAGTCGCACGCCGGCCACGCGCGCCTCGTCGACTACTTCAAGACCCTGTCCAAGGGTCTCAAGGAGGCGGACGAGAAGGACGGCGGCTGGTGGCTCATCATGACGGATCCGTACCCGGGGGCTGCTGGCAACTACATCGAGAGCAGCGCCCACGCCATGTTTGTTTATGGGTTGCTCAAGGGTATCCGGACTGGTCTGCTTGACAAGAGCGAGTATCAGGCGGTGGCGAACAGCTCGTACAAGGCTATGATTGATAAGTTTGTCACGGATAATGGTGACGGCACGCTCAACTTTATTGAGACTGTCCAGGTCGGATCTCTCAGCTCCAATGGTACCTACGAAGTAAGTTTCTGCCCTGCACCCATAGTTTATCGTTTGACGCACATGACTGACTCGGTATACGTAGTACTACATTGGTGTCCCGAGGGTTATCAACGACAACAGGGCTGGCGGTCCCTTCTTGCTGGCTGCCGCAGAATGGGAGTTGAAGTGCAAGAAATGAATGTGTAGCTGTAGATTGGGGTTTCTTATACTAGATTAGCTCGCTCATTGAATCAATCAACATCGGTTCCGGCTCAGACCAGACCTCGGATCCGTTCTTCAGTCCCCCTAAACTCAATTCACTCTCCACACCTCCTCCAATCCATGCTCCAACCACTTCCCTCGAGTCATGACCAGACATCGGATCCGATATGCTTAATCGTTCCACTCTTACCCCAACTTTGAGCCATCTGGCCAGCCAATCTCGAGCCGTTTGCCCCGCTGTTGCACTCCTACCCCAGAGTTTCCTTTCCCCAGAGGCAAGGTATCTGTCAGATATTCCAAGATGGACAAGTACAATCCGCTATGCAACCATGTCCAAGGCGAGCTATGGATTGGAAGCTCGTTATTCCGCTCCCTCGCCATTGGCTGCCGCCAGGAACCAACCCCCCCTTCTCCGCCATTTACTCTGTGGATCTATGACAACGTTTCCCAGTTTCCCCGTGCGGAGACCTTTGGGATCGGCGTTCGTAGCGCATCGTAGCTGAGCGTTGGCGTAGAACCATTTTCTGCCTTTTTCACGAGCCTATTTGACGATAAATAGCTTCACTCTCCTCCTCTCTGACCAGTTTCCTGACCTCCTTGTGTCCCATCCGCCATCTCCAGACCTTCCCCTGCTACCTGGCCTGATATTCCCGCATTACAAGGCACTGCTCAGGTAGTTCTTCGTTGATCCATGATGGATTACGAAAAACAGAGCGATCCCAAGCTGGCCGAGAACGCCATGTCCACCGAGCATGAGGATCGGTTCTCCGCTAAGATGGCCGGCCAAGCACAGGCAGTAACTCCGGCCTCATTTGCGCATCTCGACGAGAAGAAGATCCTGCGAAAGGTGTGTTGCCCTCACCGCTGTCCTACGTGTTCTTGTGACCAACTCAAATTGCTAACTGCCGCGTTAAGATGGACCTGCGCTTGATCCCTATGTTGGCGCTTCTATATCTATTGTCTTTCCTCGATCGTGAGTTACCATCCACTGTACAGTCATACTTCCAATTATCCTGACAACCGTTTCTTGCGCGAAATAGGAGGAAACATCGGAAACGCGAAAATCGAGGGTCTCCAAGAAGACTTGAACATGACGGCTGACCAATACAACTGGTGTCTGACTGTCTTCTTCTTTACCTATGCATTCTTCGAGGTCCCATCCAACCTGATGCTGAAGAAGCTCCGTCCTAGCCGCTGGCTCCCTCTCATCATGGTCTCATGGGGCCTGGTGATGACCCTGATGGGAATTGTGAGGAATTATCACGGCCTGCTGGTTGCTCGATTGTTCCTCGGTCTCACTGAGGCTGGTCTGTTTCCCGGAGTTGCCGTACGTGGTCCCTATTTATCCCGTAACATCCCCAATGCTGACAATCCCAGTACTACTTGACCATGTGGTATTGTCGCCACGAGATCCAGCTCCGCCAGGCCATGTTCTTCTCCGCCGCCTCCGTCGCCGGCGCCTTCAGCGGCCTCCTCGCCTTCGGCATCGCCAAGATGGACGGCGTCGGCGGTCTCGAGGGCTGGCGCTGGATCTTCATCCTCGAGGGCATCGTCACCGTCGTCGTCGCGTTCGCCTCCTTCTTCCTGCTGCACGACTTCCCCGAGACGGCGAGCTTCCTGACCGAGGAGGAGCGCCAATTCGTCATCTACCGCCTCAAGTACCAGGGGCAGACGACCACGCAGACCGACGAGGGGGCGGTGCAGGTTGCGCAGGCTGAGGACTTCCAGTGGCGGTTTGTGTGGCAGGCTTTCAAGGACTGGCAGATTTGGCTTAATCTGTTTGTGTACTGGGCTGTAAGTGTTCCTTGCTATTTGGATTTGAGAGGTCGGGATTGGACTAACATATGCGTCATTAGATTGTCTGCCCATTGTATGGAATCAGTCTCTTCCTTCCATCTATTATCAACAGTCTTGGATATACATCGAGCACGGCACAGCTGTTGACTATTCCAATCTACATCACGGCTTCTATTCTTGCCGTCATCGTGGCCTGGTCCTCTGATCGCGTTGGCAAGCGAAGCCCATTCATCATTGGATTCCTCTGCATGATGGCAGTAGGCTTTATCATGTAAGTTTAGCCATAACCCTCCTCCCCTCGTCCGATCTGTAAATTGTGTTACTAACATTATGTCCAAGGTGCATTTCATCCGAGAATCCTCGTGTTGTCTATGCCGGCGTTTTCATTGCCACCTGTGCCATCTACCCTGCCTTCCCCGGAAATATCGCCTGGTTGTCAAACAACCTTGCAGGCAGCTACAAGAGAAGCGTCGGTATGGCCATCCAGATCGGAGCTGGCAATCTGGGAGGTGTAAGTCAAAGACCCATCATTATCCGACCCCTTCATATTAGCCGGACAACATTGCTGACTTTTTAACCTTTTAGGCCATGGCCTCCAACTTCTATCGTCAGAAGGACAAGCCACGATATATCCTCGGACATGCTCTGGAGATTGGGTTCATCGGGGCGGGACTCATTGCGGCTCTCACCCTGGTTGTTTCGTATAAGAAGATTAACAGCAACCGGGAGAGAAAGATGGCTTCGGGCTCCACGGGCAATGTGTCAGCAGAGGAGCTTTCTGCCCAAGGTGACAAGGCTGTTACATTTAGATACATGTATTAATGGTAGAGACGGTAGAGGTAAGATGGGGTTGTGGGATGAGTTGCAATTGGAATAAATGGAATTGAGCGGGTTTATAAGTGATTTGATCTTCGCGCTTCCTCATGATGACAGTTCAAGCCGATTTCAACTTGGAGATGATGTGAACAAGGTGCTCGTCTTTAGAAGTTCAATTATGGAGTCCAAACATCAGGGAACTTATTACATTGCTTTAAGGATCTCAGTGTATTGCAAAAGAAAACATGGCTCTTTCTTTTCGTTCTAACTTCTATATCCTTCCATCTATCTGTTTAACCCGACCCGATTGGAACCTAGGATTGCAACTGCAACGAGACCTGAGCTAGTTACTAGTATTTCGGCGACATCGAGTGATTAAGAGCTTGATATCCAATTGACTGAGATTGACTTTCACTACTTAGCTCTTGGAGATGTGGATGACCTTGCCCTTGGAGATGTAGATGGTCTCGCCCTTGGAGACGAGGATGATCTCTCCCTTAAATTGTACTTGTTTCGTTTGGGCTCGCGTCTTGCTGTTATCTCATCATTGTCTGCCTCCGCACTCATCTGATTGCTAGCGTCTTCTCTTCTCCTTTTACGCTTCGCGGATGCACGGACACAAGGAGATGCTGCATCATCAGTTCGGGGGTTTCCATCCAATGGCTGTTCAGAATCGAAGGCAGCTATATTATCAGATGGAGTTTCGTCGCTGGATAACTGACTTGTGTCTTGGCCGTCCTTTTCGGAGTCTTTGCTCAATATCTCCCCTGGAGGGGAACTAAATTGAGCGCCCGACAGCAGGCTACTATCTTCAGTACATTCTCCAGAGTGATCACCTGCATCCTCTTCAACAGGGGAAAGAGCTTGGCCCTGCAGACGTAAGTGCTTCAAGGGAAGCGCGGTCTCCTCTACAAGGGGCGGGTAACTCCACTGGATACGAGAGCTATGGCCGGCTGCAACATGCATGAACCATAGAGCAAGGTTGATAGTCCATTCGTTGTAAGCCTTCGGTTCGCCTTGACAGTGGTTGCTCCACGGGATGGAGACATATTCCAACAATGCGTTGTGCTGCATCCTCCTTCGCAAGAGCGTGGGATTGGCAGTACCTGGTCTCCATTAGCTACAGTGTGCTCTAAGGACTGGGTTTACGACTTACTAGGTTCTTTACCCATAGGGCGTACCCGGAAGAGAAAAAGCTCTTCGGAGGTAAGAATGCAAGCGTAACGACACGAATATTTAAGGCAATAGGTAAATGCCTGCTTGATCGGCCACGTTGTGGAATTGGTGCTGAATAGCCATAATCCAGACTCATTGACCACTTGTTTTTCCTTGATCCAACTGCTCTTCCACTTGGCGGCTACCTTGTATTCCTTTAGGAAGTTTTCTGGTTCTTCCTGGCGTAGAGGATCCGGGTAGCTTGGGATGGAGCTTGAATCTGGCCTTAATCTGTCAAGTGATGCGCGTCTGTATACACTTTTGGGAGAACAATCTCGTACGGGCTGTTCTCGCGTCTTTAGTGGGTGTGGTTGAGGTGGGCTCAGAGTGACACCGGTCACATCCTGCCCATGAGCCCAGATGAGGGGACGATATGTTTCCAAAATAGGCTGGAGGCCCTCCATGACACACTGTTTGTTCCACTTGTTGAATAACTCAGTTGACTGAATTTCGTTGATAACGGTATTGTCTGACGGATACATCCTGGGGCGTTGAAGGTCTCTGCCTTCGCGATGGGCTTCTTCCCAGAGTTTGCCTCCAAATGCTTCCCGAAATACTTTCAGGTCTTGCATTTCAGGCCACTCTGCTATCCACTTAGGATTCGCGTAATCGTGGTGAACCGTGTTAGTCTTATTCACATTTGTTTCATCACCCCGATCTAATGTCGGGTTTGGATAAGTCAGGAATCCGAATATCGTCGTATCAGACGCCATTGTGCTTTCAGAGGAGCAGGAAAAAAAAGAAGAACAATTATAGAGAATGTGTGATCCGCAATAATGTATAGAAGTGAGGCTTGGTTGGAGAGTTGCTCCCACGGAAACTTGACGGTTCCGGCTCTTCTCTGATTTTTTTCTTCTCAACGCGGCTATGAGATTGGCACTGTTTACTTTGAATTCATTTGGATCATTGGGATTAGAATGTGATAAATTTCAGTAGTATTTATACTATGCCTGGCCTATGACTTGCTGATTTCTGATCGATTGATCATTGTCCCCGAAGCTATGTTTAGGACATAGACTCTATATCTGTTTACCATACAATGCCTCTCATGATACCGGAGGGATCGCTTGAACGTTAAACAAAGAAGATGTCAGACCCAAAAAACTCAATACAATGAATAATGCCTCTCATGATAAAGCCTGAAAACCTGTAAACTACTAGCCTTGGAGGAGTGGTTAGGTCTGGACTTGGATTTTGGGAACTTACAGGTAGCGGCTTGTTCACCCGGCATGAATGTTATCGTTTCCATGATGTGTGCCATCTTTGTCCGTCTGATTTAGACGCACCTTTGTTATGTTTTAACAGGGAGGAATTCAATGTGGACTAGGCATGTTTCTTGGGTTTCTGGGAGCCTGGACGTTGTTTGGCGGGTCAACTCAGCATGCAAGGGGCGAGCACAAGAACAAGAATAAGAACAAAGGAAGTTAGGAATATGCTAAGCAGCCCTTTTTTCACTTTGAACGGACATCATTTCCTGGCTCAGCTGACGAAGTGTTTTTGTTGCTATTGAAGTTACTATATTTATTTTTATTCTTTCTATTATTCTTCCTTTTGGTTGTTACTATCCTTGTTGTTAGTCGCATACTCAAAGTCAAGGGCTGGTCTCTAATTCAAATGCAACATGTCCGTGCCTCGTCTTGCATTAGCCACACAGTATAGGGTAATTTCTTCTATTATCTACTTGACCAAGGCTTTGAATATGCTATTGATATCTCGTGAAGGTTGTGCCAGTGCGGCAACCATGGCCTTCAACTTTCCATGAATCGGGTATGGCACAGCGGCATTGATTGTGTCCAATGGCCTCACGCAGCACACCACTATTTCTAAAGTCATATCTAAATTTAGTTGGAGTAAAATTGATCGATGGCTATAAAGAGCTCCTCCGTGGTAGCATCGTTGTGTCTACAATTTGGCTCATGACTGCTTCTGCCCCAAAGAAACCATGCCGACGAAACAAAACCCTCCCCCAATTCCAAAAGAATTGCCTCCCTGCGATGGCCCTAAGCTCAACCTATTTGAGCATCATGATTCCGAAATCGAATGGATCGAGAGACTTGGGTGCAAAGGCGAGTCATCGAGAGAGGGATATGTCTTCCGTGTCAAGATCAACAATGTCGAATACGCGCTGAAAGTGGTGAGTTTGATAGGGAAATTATTCATGATACAATATGCTGAATATAGCTGATCATCGTACCTTCACAGTTCAAGTTTCATGACCCCATGCAGAACGAGTGGTGGTGGGGAACGCACGTTGATGATCTGACACCACAGATCGCGGCGTACTACGAGGACCCTTTTTATAACGAATGCCGAGCGTATGGCCGAATTCGCAAGCCACTAAGGGGCAAGCGAAAGCTGTCTGATGCGGCTGTTGCTTGCCATGGATTCCTTTTTCTCAGTGACCGAGACCGACAATATCTCGAGGACAATGAATACGATCTATTGTCCAGTATCGTCGACCCTTCATACCAAGAGACAACCATTGAAGGGTTCAGGATTCGAGCGATCGTAAAGGATCTGGCATCAGAAGACCATGGAGTCACTGGAGATAATCTAGGAAAGGTTTTAAACCGCATTGTTGCACTGAACCAGCACCAGATTGTCACCCGTGATGTTCGACTGGACAACATCAGAGACGGAAAGATGGTTGACTTTGGCAATTCTTTCACCCTACCTCACATAATTATGCAATCAGAATTAGTGAGGCATGCGGAGCACGAATTTAATATGGCCTGGGATCGTTGGATGTTCGACGAAATGGTGCGTAATCACCGAATCCCAAACCCGAAGGGAATTGCGGCAAAACATCCCATGATACTCCGCCCAAGATTGAAGAATGATGGTAAGCGAGTCACATACAAATACTGAATCAGGAGCCACTGGCTACTGAACATGTTCATCGGATCAGATTCACGTCGGAACTGTCAAAGAACCGACGTCCGCTTGAAACCCCTTTCCCAGAAATATGAGTTCTTGCATTTCAGTTATGTTTCAATAAATACTCGTTTGAATTTCTATTACATAGACAATTTTAGCTAACATAAACCTGGATCATTCATTGAACATTCTTGTGTGAAAGGCTATAAATTATGTTTTTTTTTTTTCGAAGCTTCCGCCTCTGGTCGTATTGGAGAGTGCCCCTGTGTCCATCTCAATAACTTCAATAAAAAGCTTATGCAAGATTTACGCTTGCTCGCATGGCTATCTTCTAACAAGCCTCCTCTCTCTACCCAAATATGTTTGCTGAGGCCACTTGCATTACGCTTGAGTCTTCATTTCACGTTAAAAACAAAGCAAGTTTAGGATACGACACTTATACTCTGTAATGACATTATCAATAAAAGTCCTAGTACCATTGAGTCGTGGCCGTTAGCGTTAGATGAACCTACTACGTAGCCATCTGGGCATAATCTTTTCAATTTCTTCTTGTAATTTGAATTATATACTATAGACAGTAGATAGGCATGTTAGGTTTATAGCGATCGCTTGCTGATAGGGTTAGGCTCCAAACAGTACTGTAGACAGTAGAAAAAGCCAGTAGGGTTTTGCGGCTGACAGAATGTTTATATTTGAATAACCGCCAAGTCACTGATAACCTGTTTGATTAAATAACAGGCTGCCAAATAGAATAATAATATTGGGTTGATCCAAACGCTATCCCCAGTACTGCCTATCAACCTGGCGTGCGCGCGATGGTGCACACATGTAGGCATCTGGCTGTCTGCTCAACTATGTTTAAGGAAAACGAAAATGACGGCAACAGTATTTTATAATACTGAAACTTTCTAATGAGGTTCATCTATATCAGTAGTGACAAAAAGTCAAATATTAGTGAGTGAGTCATACGACGATGTAAATTACCTACCTACTTGCTGACTCTCTGTATTAAGAGCAGTCTCTGCAGTCTACTCATGGCACACACCCAAAGAATCCTCATCTCACACAACTAAGACAAGGCCCTGCTTCTTCTTTCTCCAATACCCAATAAGTAAGAGCCACTGGGGCACACTATCGAGGCATACCACTTATATCTTAAAAAGACACCTCCTTGATACATCCACCACAATGCCTCTCCCGATCATCCACATCAACGGCTTTCCTGGTATAGGCAAGCTCACCATCGCCCGCAAACTTGTCACCCTGCTCGAGCCATTCAAGGGCAAACTCGTCCACAACCATCTACTCATTGATCCGGCTGGCGCTATTCTACCGCGCTCTAGCCCTGACTATCAACCGCTGAGGTGCGCAATCCGGGCCGCCGTCTTTGACGCCCTGGCGGTATCCCATGACACCTTCGACTCCGTCTTCGTCTTCACCGATTTCCAGTCCGACGACGAAGTTGGCAGCGCCGTTATGGGCGAGTACCGCGCCATGGCAGCACGTCGCGGCTGCACCTTCGTCCCCATCACCCTCACCTGCAGCAAGGAGGAGAACCTGCGTCGGCTGGTCTCTTCGGAGCGGTCTGCCCACGGCAAGCTGACGGATACGGAGCTGGTGGCGCGCCTCCGTGATAATGCTGTGACGCACCAGTCGCCAGGTGACCCCTTCCAGTTGGAACTTGACCTCACGGAGCTGGATGCCGAAGCCGCGGCACGAATGGTACACCAACATATTCTAGATGTCTGCGTCGAGTTGGGCAAGGAGGGACATTAACCAACGCGCGGAAGGGGTTTACCACCTGGATGGCTGTTGTGAGCCCTCCAACAGGCTTAACAAGCGACCCGGAATGTCTACAGTATCTACCATTAATGGTGAAAGTTTCAGTCATAGTATTAGTGCTTAATAGCTATCCCTTGGATTATCCACAAACCCCTTGCTGTGGCGAAGAACACATTGGATGTAATGTGCCTTTTCCCGTCACTAATTAGACAACAAGTGTGAGCCATGTGCAAAGCTGACAGAGTGCCCCTCGTCATCGGAACCGTGCTTAGCATGAACCGTGCTTGCGAGTATATTAATCAACTTAACCTGATCGTTGGCTTTCATCCCCGGGCTCATAGGCAAGCTGAGAACCTCACGAACCACTTTTTCAGCAACAGGGCAGGCATTTCCCACCACAGGAAACTTGGCGTAGGGAGCCATAGTATGTATTAACCTGGGATAGTAGACCATGGTTGGAAATCCTTGTTGCTTCAGGGCATCTCGAACGGCCTCTCGTCTTGAAACGTTTCCATCCATCGTATGGCCTCTTGGTTCCGTAGAACATACGCGGATAGTATATGAAGCCCACGCAGAAGTGAACCCTGCTCTTGTTATAGGTGGAATGATAGGTGGTAAGTTGCCTAGCACCTTCTGGCTCTTGTTGAGCAGCTGAGTGTATTGTGCCGCTATCTCTCGCCTTTCCAAAAGGTCTGATTTGAATGCTTCCAGTTTTACCAGGAGGACTGCTGCCTGCATAGTATCAAGACGACTATTCAGGCCGATCCGAAGGCTGTCGAATTTATCATCCTCAGATCGCCCGTGCTTGGACAACGAACGGACTGTCTTGGCTATATGTGCATCTTGGGTAAAGATAGCACCTCCATCACCAAGGCACCCCAACGGTTTGGAGGGGAAGAAGCTCGTAGTTGTAACCGTGGCCAACGTTCCGACCCTCTCTCCTCGCGCTGAGGTCGCACCGAAGCTTTGTGCGGCATCCGCAAGTAGCCAAAGGCCATGCGATGAGGCTGCGGCATGCAGTGCGTCATAGTGTGCTGGGTGACCAAAGATGTCGACAGCAATGATCCCGACAGGGCGGCATCCAGAAGAACGTGCCAGTTTGACACCTTGTTCGATGAGGTTAGGATCGATAGTAAACGTTTCAGGCTCAATATCAAGAAAGATAGGTGTCGCTCCGAGCAGAACGACAGGCTCAACCGAAGCTACAAAAGTAAAAGTAGGGACGAGAACAGCATCCCCAACCTGAATATTAAGAGCCATTAGAGACAGGGTGATGGCATCTGTGCCACTGGCGCAAGTTACGACATGTGATGCCTTGGAAAACTTGGCCAACTTCGTTTCTAGTTCGTCAACTTCTGGCCCCCCAATGAAGGTGCCCCGATCTAAAACTTTGCCTATTCGCTGGTTCAAAGCTTTTCGAATGGTAGAAACTTGAGAGCGGATATCCAGGAAGGGCAAACTTTCACCGGGGGCTGTGCCCAGCGTGTTGCTGACCATCTGACCTTCACCAGAGGCTAAGGTCAACTGACAGGCTTTGTTTGGGGTTTTCAGCTCAAAATATTTCTCTCCTGTTCTTCTGCAGATCAGGTCTGGGCCAAGCCGCTCGCCAGCTCGGCTAACCCATCCAATCTGGGTCGCGGGATTTCCCACAACGAGTGCATGAGGTGGAACAGACTTGGTAATGACAGCCCCAGCACCAACCATGCAGTATTCGCCGAGCTCAACTCCGCATACCACCGTCGAGTTCGCCCCGATAGTTGCTCCTCGTCTCACTTTGGTGTCTAGAAACTCGTTCTTGCGTTCGACTTCGGCACGCGGCGTCAGCACGTTTGTGAACACGCACGATGGTCCACAGAACACACCGTCTTCCAGTAACACGCCGCTGTAGATGCTGACATTATTCTGGATCTTGCAGCGGTTACCGATCACCGCACCTCGGCCTACCATGACATTCTGGCCGATGATGCAATCCCGGCCAATCTGGGCGCCGTCCAAGATATGGCTGAAGTGCCAGATCTGAGTGCCCTCTCCCACCGTGGCGTCAGCCTCAACTACTGCCGTCTCATGAATTTTAGAGGAAGTGACGGCCTTCAATTTAATTTTCGTGAGGGATAGAGCCCCTTCAACCTTTTTCGGTCCCGGAGGTGAATGCTTTGAGCATTGATGGCTGAGAAGACTATTGCCATCCATTGCCGTCTCAACAGTTGCTAGAACGTGAAGCACGGAGAGCCCTTCAAATATGTTGGCGACGGGCTGCCTGTTCTCCCGGATGCAGGAGAGAAACTCCTGGCACTGCGCAGCCAAAGGCTGGGCAGCTACAAGGGGGACTGCTTGTCCTTCCCCTTTCACAGCCTCTGGAAGACCATTTGGCCAAGCAATCTGGTGTCGAAACAACACCAATTTAGACTCCCATGGCTGAGTATCATCGAAGACAGCCATGCCGTGATCTCCAACCACCACTAGCTTTCGTTCTTTAAAGGGGTAAGCCCAGGACACGGAGAATTGTGCATGCGCTCCACTGGCAAACCGAAGATGAGCAGTGACACTATCCACGATGCCCGGCGTCAAGTAGCCAACTCCTTCTGCTACGACGGTCTCGGGGCTTTCGCCTCCAAGAAGAGCCAGAATCATGGAGACATCATGTGGTGCGAGGCTCCAAAGCGCGCTTTCAACGTGCCGGATCCGCCCAAATGCAAGACGAGTGCTATAGATGTGGCGGATTTGGCCAAGCTGGCCATCCGAGACAAGAGATCTGAGCTTTATAAAAGCTGGATGGCAGTGAAACAAATGCCCAACCATGACAACTTTGTTTGTAGTTGCCGCGGCGCGCATGAGGCGTTGCCCATCGCTTACAGCCAAGCCCATTGGCTTCTCAACCAAAACATGCTTTTTGGCAAGAATTGCCTGAGATGCCAGGTTAACATGGGACGCTGCCGGGGTAGCTATAGCAACTGCATTTATGGTGGAATCCTTGAGTACAAGGTCCCATTGCAGAGCCGGCACTCCGTATGCCTGGGCTTGCTTCTCAGCTCGAGCGGGTATTTCATCAACAACTCCCACCAGACATCCGAGTTCTGCAAACTCTTTGATCAATCTGGCTCCCCATTCACCGCAGCCGATTACAACGACCTGTATAGTTAAGTCCATGTTGTAAGTTGATAAGAATGTGTTGAAGTAAAAGTATTTTCAGGCTTTAAGAAGTCAAAAGTTGGGTGTGGTAAGATCAAGCCTTTGAGACAAGGACGGATTTGCTAGACAAAGATCAAGACTGTAATCGTCCATAGCAACACCTGCTTAACTGGATTATGGCGAGCTGACAGCACGCCTCTTATGGCCGATGAGGCTCAAAATCAGCTATTAGCGTGTTGCATATGCATGACCATCGTTCGGACGGGGGGCGTGAGCGTGTCATGCGGCCATTGGCTGCCCAAGTCCTACGATGTCGGGAGGTTTTTAATGGGTGTAACATCAGCATAAGTGACGTGACCAAGCAGGATAGCTAGCAAATGGGAGTGACGCTCCGGTGAGGTTTTTGATGGGCCCAGCCGCTATCGCTCATGACTGGATGATAACAATACAGAAGTCGTGATGAAAATGCATATTTATATTCGATTAGATAATAGAGCATATAAGCAAATAGATGATTTCAACGAATACGACGCTGCGGCTTACTTTAGACCCATCTCTGCAGCGAGAGCCTTGAATACATTCTGCACTTCTGGACGGTGAAGAGGATATGGAGTAACAGTTCGCAACAGCATAATATGAATTTCCATGAACTACAAGCGAAGGATGATAACGCTATCGAGGATTATACGTGCAGTTGATGAAGACAGTGCTCGGAATTGAAGGCTGAATATAAAGAGCGAGGACAGCATTAGGAGAAAACACGGAGATTTCCACCCTTTGGAGATTTAGATAGAATTTCTATACAAAAATACGCGCTGCTTGTGGTATTAAATATTTTGGAAATTGGCGGAAAGTCAAGATGAGGTAGTTTTATTGCATTATATGAGTTATATCTCCCTGCTAAGCTCCGTCAAGGATGCCGTCCTGAGTGCTCTTTTTGTTATCCTCAAGGCAAGGCGTTTGATCAAGCCGTAAGGATTTTATTTCAACTTAAGATACCTCGCTTAATGTTCATCTACAAAGAACAGGATAATCTTTCACGTGTGGGTAACATGATAGTCTATCGCGTAATGAGTTTTGCGTATCGAGTTCAGTTCTATTTAAGCATGACGTTGAGAATCTACTTGCACAGCCCACAATCCTAGAGGTTGAGTGGCACAGAGCCCTAGAATCCCTTCAGATTTTCTGCACCTTCACCAGATTTGCTGGTGGCCCATGTTGAATTACAACTACATTTTAACAAGCGAGTGATCCAATAAAGCCTAGTTTTGTTTTCGGCGCAGGACTTCGGAAGCTTCCCCGGCCATCCTCTTCACGAGGTCTGCAATTTTTCTGAAAGACGGATCATCTGCCCCGGGAAATCGTATCAAATTGCCGTGCTTAACGTCAAGAGCGAGTTTCTCGTGCCCAGGAAGGGTGGCTGATTGGCAATTTACAACCTGCAATGTGTTATCTCAAGTCTCTTCAGGGAACGGTTGATCATGGGCATACCATCATGGATAAATCACGAGCCATTGTGTCTTGTAGCTCCATCCACAGCTTATCAAGCACTCTGTCGTTTTTGCCAAACCTCCAGCCTCTCCGTTCCCGCATTTTCCTCTGTAGGTTCTTTCTGACTTTACCCATTGATGTACTGTAGTCCGCGTCTCTTGTTTCGTAGACGCAACATATAGGGAAGTCGAACTCGGGCCGCGAACTTAATTGTCTAAAGTCTTGTACTATCTCCTCCAATTCGCTGCTGTCACTTTTCAGAAGGCTTACGAGGTATTTGGAAGTATCTTTCCCGAGATGTTCTCCGATACGCATCCGCAGGTTGCATGTTTCATACAGTATCGTATGACTGCCCGAGAACGGTGTGCCCATGAAAATAGCACCTGCTGTTTGCAGCGGAATCAAAGAGTATGGAGACTGGTAGTCTATAGTTACAGCCTGAGAGAGCGCCTGTATATCGTTAGGAAATGGTGCGTATGGATATCAGAGAGATAATAATACTTTAAGCAATAGCAGCCCTCCAAAACAAGCAGCAATAAAGATAATAGGCCGAGTTTCACCGTCCTATAAACAATTAATCGGCTTGAAATAACAAGACTCTGACAGGGGACTGGACAATACTGGGCCTGTTGAATCGGGTGCGGTCCTCAACTTATATAATTGTCTGAGCAACTCATCGGCATGCTCTGCCATATTCTTCATGGCCGCGTTCTGATCAAACCCAGAGTTCCACTCGTAGGTGAATATCCTTGAATTTGGAATCGCGGCCGGTAGCATTTCCGGGTCTTGAAGCCAATGTGCTCCTCGAGGTTCTCCCGCGCTGGTTGGCTTCCATATGTAAGAAGCATGCGTTGTTCCAAGGCCATGGATAGCAATAATGCTGTATCTATATCAGCTATTCAAGTCAAAATATAGACACAGAGTGGTCGACCTACTCTACTATGGCTTTGCATCCACTTGAGAACTGGGAAGCTGTGTCCCGGGCAGGACAGCGGAGGTTTTGAATGTTTTGGGAGTCCTTAAGCACAGGGTATAGTTGAACTAATTCGGACTGGCCTCGTTGTTTGGCGTCCCAACTCTCGGGCCCTTGGGGAATCTCAAGTGGTTGGGCACCATGACGTTCCATTATGGGAGCCCCTTTGCTGTCCATGGCGGTGACTGTCATAGAAGGCCGGAGTTCGTAGGTATTAATAGACGGTGCTAGTTCGAAAACGATATTCTACCACAATTAGGCCTGTCTAGAGAAGCAGTCTATTCAGTACGAAGTGCACAGCAAAAAGACCAGGTTTTCGAGTGGTGGCGTAATGCAAATTTTTTTTGTGTTGCTGAGGGAGAGCCAACACAGGCCTCAGCCACAACACAACGGTGTCCGACTTACCCCTTACAAGCCTGACCGCCAAGTTTCAGTTGTACAGATGGGGTGATTCAGCTTATCAATGTCATTAATTTCACTTTGAGTTTCTAATCTAGTCTAAAAACAATAATTATGTTTTCCACCAGTCTCTGAGAAGCACGTGGTGGTAGTATCAATGTATCAATCCATGTACGTCAAATGGGGGGTGGCCTCGTCTTCTAACGTATTAAACGGTACCACTCGGTAACGACGGTACCCGGCTCACTGTCACTCTGCTCTGTTCAAGCGCCCAACGCGTCGTACACGGCTCTGACGCATCGCCTGGCTGTCTGGTTTGCCATTGGCAGCGATGTGTCCATCTTATTCATGGTGAAGGCCAATGTAACCCGCCTGTCGCAGTCCATCACTACCAACGAGCCGCCCCATCCACCCCAGTAGCACACTCGGTCTCCTGTTGGTAGCCATTCATCGTCAGGGAGGCTGCCACCCCCAGTCAGGGCGTAACCCAAGCCCCATCGCAGCGGTTTCTGCAGGACCAGATCTTCGCCGCGGGAGTGTTCCTGGAAAATCATGTCCACTGTCTCGGGGCGGAGGAACCGCTCCCCGTTGCTGTCCAACCCGCCGCGAGAGATGGTAGAGAGAATGGTGGCGAGCGATCGAGCATTCGAGTACGCGGAAGCCGTCATATCAGCGTTACGGATTGGGTTTCTCAATGTCATTTCAGCAACTGGGCCCAGCGGGTGGCGACCAACTGGAAGCTTGGCTGGATTATCCTCACACACGATTTCAGCCCTGTTGCCCGGGAAGTCGTTATTGTGGAAGTAATCGACTCTCAGCGCATCCAAGATCTGAGTCTTCTCCAAGCCTGGCAGTGTCATGCCTGTCTTCCGACTAACGACCTGCCCAAGGAGATGACGCCAGGTACCTGTGTGGTAGCCCGAAGCCGTGGTGGGTGGCCAGAGAGGGGCCTGCCCAGCTAGAAGGGTGGCCATCAGAGTCCCATCAGCGGCCTGCTGGGCTGTAATACGCTGTCTGATCCCGCTCATGCCAGATGTGTGAGACAGGATGTGGCGCAGCTCGATGCACTCCTTGCCGTTGGCTGCGAACTCGGGCCAGTAGGTCGACACCCTGGCACTCGGGTCCAAGATACCATTGTCGACAAGCTTCAGCATGGCCAGTGACGTAACCGACTTGCTGCAGGACCAGATCGGCACTGTCGTGTCCCGGTTCCACGGTCGAGTTCTCTGTCTATCCTCGTAGCCGCCGTAGAGATCTAGGAGCATCTTGCCGTCCACATTCAACGCGAACGATACGCCGATCTCATCACCGGAGTTGCAGGCGTTTTGGAGGATGGAGCGAATTCTGTCGAATTGAGGTGCACAATCGCCTTGTATGTAAGCCATGTTGGGCTGTGTGTATGCAAGGAGTGAGCAATGCAGAACTCCCTTTTTTTTTTTTTTTTCACCGGGAAGCTGACCTGGGCAAGGGCTTTTAAAATGCTTAGAAGAAGAGAGATAAATTTTTCTATCGAAGGCACAATTTCGCAAATAGACAGCCCAAGGCCAACTGTAAAGGGGCGGGCACATATGTGCGAATAACCAAGCTAACCCCCTTCTTCACGACTGCGGCCTGCGTGGAGGTGACTGACTACTACTTGCATTGGCCCCCACCGATTCGTAATATAAGGAAAATAGGGCTGACTACTTTGACTACAACCTTGTGACCTGGAATAAAAACCGCCTGTTCATCTGGTTTGCCCAGCTCGTTCTTCCACTTCCCTCGACTAGCTGGGATCTGACGTCCCACTTTGATCCGGTCTCCTCTGACACCTGCTGCATGAGCTTTTTGAAAGTCGCCTCGTTGTGCCTGAAAGTGAGTTTATTCCAGGTTGCTTGGGTGGGGATGCCGTGCACATGGCCAGCAGACTCTCCAGCAAAGAACGATCCCTGCACTGGCTTTAGCAAGCTCACAATTGTCTTGCAGGCTGTGATTTGGTCGTCCCAGCTGAGCATGTGCAGGAACATGTCCATGTAGGCCATATCAAACGACTGATTCATCTCCTCCAGCGCCGGACTCTGATGGAGAATATTCGCCTTGACGAAGCGCGCTTTAGTATCCGAGTCCTTGAAGAGCTGGTACCCGGCCTCAAAGAACCGCTCGTCCAGATCCAGCCCGACCAGGTTCTCGGCTGGGGCACCGTCGTGGATGAGTTTGCGTATATCTTGGCCTAGGCAGCAACCAACGTCGATGAGGCGGTCACCGCTTCGAAGTCTGCTCAGCACGGTTTTATGGAGCTCCTCGTCATGGGCCATGTGCAGCTCTGTGAAGAGGAAACGCCCAAGGCAGGGCATTGGGTTGACTTCCCAAGCCAGATTGCGCTAGATTGAAATTATGAGCTCATGCGCCCAGGAGGCACAGCTGTGGAATAAGGCTTACTACGGAGATGAGGTGCTCTTCGACGTCCTCCGGGGCCACACGGCCATATTCTTCCAGCAGCGCCCGGAAGGGAGGAGAGAGCTGGCCTGGAGATTGGTGAAACCACTGTACATCACGAGATCTCAGATCCGGCGTACTACTCTCGCTGGAACTGCTGATTCGCACGTGGCTGTGGTGAGGCACATCTTGGTCGTCACCCGACGCAGATACAGGAGATGCCATGGTCACAGGTGATGGCGAGAGGGAAGACGATGTTTCGATGCAAGTTACAGCTGAGTGCGCAAGTGTGGAAGCCGTTGGGCATCATAATATGTAGGCTAATTAGGATCGTTGCTCAGCCTCCCCAGTGGCTGATTCACTCACGCAGACCCTAAATCAGAGTCACGTCAGGCCCAGAGCGGGAACGGTGTGTAAGTAAACTCTGACGTGTGCTACGTAGACACGTAAGGGTGAGAAAATTGAAGAAAAAGCAACGCTGAAGAGGGGTCGCTCTAGAGCTGAACCTCCCTTGTTGGCTGTGGCTTGTCTCATCATGCAGGCGCCACAGATCCTGCGCACAATTGTGTTCAGCAACAGTTGTGGTCAGCAACAGCTGAATTTAGCAACAGCGGTGCTTGGCAGGACATGTGTCCTCTACTGAGCATGTTTTGCTGTCGTATTGCACAGCTAGCGGTAGACGCCCCTATTATGTTGGTTGTTGGTTCTTTGGACCTCCCAAGAGATCCAGGACGGACTTCTAGAACCCCTCAATCTGATTCGCTTTTAGTATCCTCCGTATAATACGGTAGATATGTTTCTGGTCGTCAGCAGCAGATTTTCAATGCACTCTCAAGAACTTTACACCTGGTTTTGGTTTTTATTGTGTCATGACTTCAAGGGGCATCATCAGAATTATTAAACAACTAAATTGATTCGCAAATACATGAAAATTCAAACTACATTATGCGACTATTACTCGTCGCTAAGTCGTGCCTGCAACATAAGACTCAATTCCAATTAAAAAGGTAGCGTTTTCCCTTAGTAAAACAGCGAGTTTCTGAACAAGCTGGATGCCTACGGCTCGGTGTTGAAATATTCTTCAGTTGTATCCTGGAGTAGGTCGCCGGGAGTGAAGCAAAAGTTTGGATCACCGGAAAAACTCGCCTCTGACTCGAAATACGAAAAGGCAAATCCTGAAGAAGGCGGGTACTCGGACTGATTACCATTTGGAGAGCCTTGTGTTACTGCTGCACCATAGGGAGAGCCTTGTGGAAGTTCATTATATGGGGTCTCCTGTGGCATTCGATTATACGAGGAGCCCTGTGGCATTCCCACAGGAATAGAAACGTAGTCGGATGACGCCATGCTGGGTTCGCCAACCAGAACATTAGAAGTTCCCAAAGAGCTACGGCCTCTATCAAGACCGCTAGGCGTGAATGGGATCTGAACGGCATCACTCCCCAAAACCGGGCCTCGTGTAGTCCTCCAGGAATCAAACACTCTGCTGAGTCCGCGTACAAAAAGGTTTTGGATATGGTGTCTGTGCATGTGTGGCGTACTGGCCAAGACTGGATCGTTTTCAAGCTCCTCAGCTATAATGCTTTGGCCTCGACGATCGAAGAACTCATGGAAGGCACACATATCCTCTGAGAGCTCAGAATCCATATACGGTGATCTTGGAGCCTGAATTCCCGGGAAAAGAATGTACCAAATGTGATACCATCTTTCTATCTCAGAGGAGGCCTTCTTTGATTTTGTAGAAAGCTCCCGACTTTGCTGATGCGAGATTCCTTTCAGCTCAGCTGCTGGGTCTCGCTTGCAATAGTCCCCGTTTGCGTGGGTGACATGCTCATGATGTTGTATCTCGTCAGCAAAGATTTTTAGACAGCACTCGCAATAGAATTTCGGAGTATGCCTCCTGACTAGGTGCTGCTTTACGTCCTGCACTCTCATGAGTTTGTACCGAAAGCAGGCACGGTGATGGTCGGCATTCTTCTTCCAAAAGGGACAGGCCCATTGCTTTCCTTCGGCCTCGGAGTTTAGTCTTTTGGATGGTGGCTTAGATGGGCTGGGCGCTCCATCTTCGCCGCCGTCAGGAGGCAGAGCTCTCTTGCGTCTTCTTGTTTGATTCGCGTTGAAGCCAGTCGTATCATTGGTATTGGATTCTGGTTTCAAGCTTGAATTGCCACTACTACCACTTTCTTGTTTGAAACCTGGGCTTGCACCTCGAAACTCAGACCATAGCCGCTCAAAGCAACCGTCTAGAACTTGATAGCCAGACTCGCCTAAACTCAACGATTGCATGCTGTCGGATGACTCGTCCAAGGATAAAATATCCGAGTCGAGATACTCCGAGGATGAATTGCGGCTCACACTCAAGCGCTGTCCGTCCTGGTCAAATACAATAGATTCGGAGTCGGAAACATCATCCCCAAAACGAAGCGATTCTTTCGACGGCCTTGGATCTAATACCCGCATTAGTAGGTTTCCAGAGTATTTCAGAGTGCGTTATCCCCTTACCATATATGTGACGCGCTCCTTCTAGACGATCTTTCACAGAGATCGTCATACGACTAAAGCCCGAGGGGTTGATATCGCCTCGATCTGCATTCATCCAAATCACCATGTTTCCAATTGTCTGGGAGGCAACCAATACGGTCTTCTGGCCTTCAATGAAAGTGGCCCCTTCAACGAGTGTCACATCTGATGCTTTACAGAAGTCAAGTAGGTCGGCAAGAGAATGGATTTCGAGCCCATCACAGCCTTTGGGCCGCGCAAGGACAGGAAATCCTACGACAAGGGGTGGCATTCCAAGGTATTCCTGCCATTCACGCAAAGCCGGAGCTAATGCGGGTTTTTGAACGACGTTCTGACATATACTGAAGTGCGCGGTGGACTCAACACGCTGTGATGGGACCTGTTCAGGAATGCTCTCGATGAATGGGTGACAAGTGGCCAAGGAGTTTCGCAATGATGATTCCAGAGCAGCCATCAGCCAGGCGAGCTGTTCAGCACATTCTGCAGCGGAAGCCGCAGAGCCAGATACTGTTAGCTGGAATCCCTTGTTCGCAGCATTGGCACTTAGTCTTGTTTTGTCGGGCAGCTCACCTGTTTCTTGTGAGTGTTTGGACAACTAGACAATGATATTGGAAAACAGAGAAACAGTCACATACCCGAATACTTCTTGCCAGGAGCAAGATTCGCAATAACGAGAAAGGCATCCAGAAAGCTCGGTCCATTGAACGACCAAGTTTGCTCAAAATATTGCTTCACAGTTACCACTTGAACGTATGAAGAGGAAGCTACAAGGACCCTTTTTGCATCTAGGTCACGTACGGGGTTGCTGTAGTCTCCAGGAAGGTGATGACGGTAGGCAGCTGGATCCAATTGAAAGTCGATCCTGCAGTGATGGATCTGAGGCGCTGACTTCCTGCTCATGTTACCAGTAGGAAGTTGTCGGAGCACCTTTTCCCGAATGCGAGTTTGAGCCGAATTCTCCATTTCTAAGATTGAGTTTTGCTTCAAACTCGAGAGAAGCCACCCATATGCTGGGTTCTCGAGGATGAGTGATTTGTAGGCTTCAACATTACTTGTGCGGATAATCGGTTCTTCTGAGATGCCTTGAAATAATTCGCCCGGCTGAAAGGTCGGAGTGTTCTCCATAGTCTTTTGATCCCACAGGAGCATTTTATCCTCCAACGACATTGCTCTGGGACCACCCTTCTCCGGATCCGCAGTCTTACAGCCAAAGAGTGACTGCAAGTGGCTTGCTATATCACTTTACAAAATCATGTTAGGCTCAAATATGCGAGATACATTTCTTGGAAGAAGCTTACTTGTGGCGCCGATACACAAAGTACATAATCTCCCAGTGCTGTTTGGAGCCTTCGGCATTGCCAAGTTTGATAGCAAACGCCTTCAACAGCTCCGGAAGCTTCTCTGATACTTTGGCCCATTTCAGGGGATCGAATGTCTGTTGCAGGGCGCCGTGAATTTCCTCACAGAGAACCGATAGGTAGTTTACTATTCTACCATCGGAGACGCTGGAGGCATGTGAAAATTTTGTTCGCGAATCGCAGGTCTCAGGATCATCCAACTCAAAAGGGCCAGGAACTGGCGCACACGAACCCTCATGTCGCGATGCAGAAACATAGGCAGAGTCGGCAAACTCCTTCTCTTTCCTGACATTCTCGACATGGCAGTTTTTAAGAATATCCAAGTCAACAGGGCCTGGGACTGGTGCACACGAAGCATCATGTCGGGATGTAGAAACATAGGCAGAGTCAGGAGGGTCGTTTCCTTTTCGGGTATTCTCGACGTTGCGCCCGGATATTGGAGACAGCCACGACTTGTTGGTGAGCTCAGCCAACAGGGCTTCGCTCCCCTCAGAAACTGGGAGTACCTGAGAGTTATCGCAGACTTTGTCCCACAGTTTCTCATAGTATTCCTCATTGGTCAATGTTTGGTTCGGATCGACTCGGCGGCTTTCGCTCGTTGTCAGTGCACGGTGACTCTGTATGATGAGACGAGAGCAAAATTGTAAATAGTCTGCTCTATCTGCTGCCCACTCCTATGGGCCGATAAACATCGAGTAACTTGTTAGCTAATTCTAGCACATTCATCATGCCAAAGCTCACCACGGCCGCTGAGACCAAGTAACACTCCACTTCTCGCAAACACAAGGGATGCGTTCTTCGCTTAGTTTCCCGTTTGTAACCTTCGAGCAGAGCCTTGAGGTTGCTTGACTCGTATTTGACCAGAAGCGGTTGTATGACCCCGTTCAGGATGGGATCAAAGTTGGACTGCAATGTATGTTGAGTGGGTGCTTTTAAAAACAAAGTTCATAGAAGCTTACTTACGCAGGCGGTATTGCAGTCATCCTTACAAGCCTTACAGCTCTCAAATTCTGCCCCAGGAGGGATATCGACGTTTCCTACGTCGCCGCATTCTGTCCCAAGTCCTCCATCGCTTATTTCGGCTCCATTCATCTCAGTAAGGATAGAAACGTGTTTGTCGCTCCAGCGATGTCGACTACATTCAATCAGGTGAGGTGCTATAGAGGCTGTCAGCAGAGAATCTCGATAACAAATACTGACCAGGGTCAGTCCATCAGACATCGCAAATGCCTTCTGCGCGTTTCTTACCCTCTGTATCCAAGTTCAGGGTGTATTTGGCGACCGGGGTATATGTATCTCGACGAAATAAACTTGCCTAAATTTGCCTAGGCCTCGGGAACTCGAGTGGAATATATAAGGGGTCGAGTCCCGCGACCTCGATTGACGCTGCGGGGTTTTCATTCAAGCTCCTGTTAACACAATTGTGTGCAGAGTCCCTGATTGGTTCTGAAAACTCTGCGTACAGCCTTATGTCGAATGCGACACAGTAATGTCAGCTTGTGTGGGGGGCCACAGAGGTGTAGGTGCAGCCCAGTGCTGATTTTCACACATGTGTCTCAGTGGCAAATTGGGTTTCAGCCTTCTCTCACCAGGAGAGAGCTGAGACAGATACAGGCATGATGTTCAACGAGGGATGAATGGATTGATGAGCATCGTTTATAGCTCAGCCATGCCATGTGAGCATCTTTTTCATAGATACGGAAGGAAAAGTCCGTAAACCTTCATACTGATGACTCACTTGCCGTCAGGACGAGCGGCTCGTCGAATGACTATTGAAGCTGCCTTCTTTCACCTGGCTTCACTTCCGTCTCACACCAATCCAAGCACTTCAACCTATAACTCCAGTCCAAGCACCTCAACCTACATCACCAAGCTCGAGGCTTATCGGCACCCAACCCAGTGAGTCTCGAGCTTGGTGTTGGTGTTGTAGGTTGAAGTGCTTGGATTGGAGTTATAGGTTGAAGTGCTTGTATTGACGGTAGAAATGCATTTGAGGAACAGTCACTCTAGGAAAGCGTACGTCAATATTCAGGAGTGTGGGATGGTTACATTCCCAAGGCCCCTGAGGGGAAATTGGTGTTTCACCCGTGCTGTTGGAGCACCTGGGGGAAACGGAAGCCCCGAAGAGCCGGGGTGTCACTTTGGTATGTTGAGAAGATATTACGGATTGTGTCTTCTGGTAGCTCGAATCCGACCAAGGGATCTGTTTAGATAAATAACTCGGATGTACCACACGAATTACCAGAGCTTTGAGTAGCAGATACTAGTGAATGCTGATTGGGAAACGTTATTCATTCATTTTCAATAGACACCGATATGTGAATACTTCAACTTATATTGTGTTCAAGAGTACTTGATTTGACGAATTCAAACCGAGGGCTTATGTTCTTTATGATATCGCTGCAACCACTTGTTGAAACGTGGTTGAGCTCTTCTATTCTAAATAAATTACTACTACATTCTTTGCTCCAACAGCCTATGCTGCGGGACTTAATAAAACCAAGCTACCTGAGTATAAATCACCCAATTTTTTTGGAGGAATGCTCGATAATACAGCGCTACCAGAGCTAGCAAAAAAAGTTGTCAAATCTCACTTGTGGTATAAATTTTGGGAACGTTTCCACTGTTGCATGTTCTAAGTCTCGAAGTTGGCTCGGACCCTCGGTATCTATCTGATGACACAATGGGGTGAGCTTTGCGTTATGCAGCTTGAAGCGAAAAGTTTGTTGTGTCACATGATGGACTATGGAGGCCTTTGTCCAGGGGTATTGCCATACGATGGACTCGCTTCGCAAAAGGACGTTAGCGTTGTGGAAATATGTCCAAATTATAATGTGATTTTGAAGGCCAACTCAGCTGATTTATTAAATACATGACTGGTTCTGATCCAGCAAAATTCCGTATCGGACATTTCATGCCTCACGAACCCATGCACAGACATTCGCAATGAAGGGCATGTGGTCTGAGATGATGTTTCGATAACAAACAATTCAGAATCACATGACCCCTGATTTATGTTTAGGAGTGTCTGGATGCTGATCCAGTGTAATCCAAAGCATCCACGAGATGCACAAAATGGCTTGGTGAATGGTAGAAAGTGTTGACGTGTTTGAGTAGTTGTGTGTAAATTCCCGTCATCCACATCCTGTTGAAGCGCTCGAGTCAAATGTCTCTCAGAAGCGGATCAGTGTTAAGCAGTCCCTCGTTCTTTTCTACAGTTCATCCTGCATGGGCCCATCACCTCCTGATATCCTGGCTTCTCTGGTGCAGCTCCCCGTGCCAGTCACGGCATAACCATCAGCCAAATCCCCGCCACCAACCTTAGAGAAACTCACCGCCTCATCCCGAAGGATGTGTCTGATGTGTAACTACCTGATTCATTCAAACACCTGTCGGCCTATTTGACGTCACCAAACCTTGAGGATATTCTATATAAATCTAAGAAACTCGCCTGCAAGTGATGATGTGAGCCAAAGAGAAGCCAGTCAACAATTCTTTTGTTCACTCAACAATAACAGCATCACCAATCATGCCTCTTGAAATCCCCACTGCCGAGAGTCTCTTAGACCTGTTCAACCTCAAGAACAAAGTTGTGATCATCACCGGAGCCTCGGGCCCCAAGGGTATTGGCTATGCCGCAGCACGCGGTTGTGCGGAAATGGGAGCCAATGTGGCTATCACATACAACACACGCCACAAAGAAGCCGAACAGAATGCTAAAGACCTAATCAAAGATTACGGAGTCAAAGCCCAAAGCTACAAACTAGACGTGACTGTCTTTGAGGAAGTTGAGAAGTTTGTTAACACAGTTGTGGCTGACTTTGGACGTGTTGATGCGTTCATTGCAAAGTACGTTCTCCTCCCTCTTCACTACATCATCCTGTGTTATAACTAATTTTTAAAAACAAGTGCCGGCGCTACTGCTAATGCCGGTGTCGTCGATGGGACCAAAGACGCGTGGGATCGTGTTGTGAATGTTGACCTTAATGGAGTGGCTTATTGCGCCAAGGCTGTCGGCCCTCACTTCAAGAAGCAGGGCCATGGATCATTCGTGATCACAGCTTCCATGTCAGGTCATATCGCAAACTTTCCTCAGGAGCAGACATCTTACAACGTAGCCAAAGCGGGCTGCATCCATATGGCCAGGTCGCTGGCAAACGAGTGGCGTGATTTCGCTCGTGTAAACAGCATTTCTCCAGGCTATATCGACACCGGCCTCTCGGATTTTATTGGCGCAGAGAGACGGAACCTGTGGAAGGGCATGATTCCTATGGGGCGTGAGGCAGTTGCCAAGGAACTCAAGGCCGCATATGTCTATCTTGTGAGTGATGCGAGCAGCTATACTACGGGAGCAGATTTGGTTGTTGATGGTGGATACACTGCTCGATAATTTACATATTCAGTCAAGTTTAACAGTTTATAGTTCTATTTCTGTTCTGAAGAACAAACTGAGGGCTGTTTTAATATAAGTGTTGCGTCGTCTTTGATTGAAACCATTTACTTAGAGATGTGAAAGACAGAACTAAAGTGCCGCTTTCGACGAAACGAACGACACAGTCGCCTTGGTGTGTTCAGCGACTGACAAGAGAGTGCCTGTTATTCTATCTCTCATCTCGCCTCGTATTGTAGCAAGCCGTTTTCCGATCTTCAGAACTTGGCACTTGACCAGTATTTCCCTGTTCGCCTGTGCTGGTCGCAAGAATGTGACGGACAGATTTTGAGATACTCCTCCAAACTCCCAGAAGCCCTCTTTTGCCAGAGGGGCTGCGCACATGGTCGTGCACATGTCGTAGATGAGTGATATCGCGCCGCCATGTAAGTTCCCCAGCCTGTTTGATAGATTTGAGCCGCCTTCTACTAGAAAAACTGCCACCGTCTCTTCTTCGCAACTGCTTGCAGAGACGAGGGTTATTTGATCGCGCATCAACTTGTCGTCCATCGCCTGGATCGATGTCAGTCTTCCCCGTGTATATTTGAACAAATGATCTGCTGGCCCTCACATCTTGACCATCGGCTGATACTGGAGAGACATAGCCTCGAATATACGCTCTAATTCGTTCCGCTGGGTCTAGAATATTGACATCGAACGCTACCCCAGGGACGGAAAGTAAATCTGATGAATACCCCGAGCCGTCTGCCATAGTACCACTCGAAGCTAATTCATCCAAACAAGAATTGGGGAAACGTGGATTTGAGATGCAAAATCAATGCGCCCGTTTCAGTTTTGACGACCTCCCAGATCTCGGCTTCGGAGTTTTATTTGCGGAAAACTAGCCGAGGTTAATTGCTCGGTGAGCAGCCGTCGACTGATAAACTTGGCTCTGGAAATACGACTTTTTCATTGTATTTATGAAAAGGTATAAGATATATGCCTTTTGATTATTTATATTTTCCATTGACTTTCTCATTGCCGTTTCCCCGTGGCCGCAATACCGAACACCAAATGAAGAGTTATCACAAAGCTAGGCGTGTTCAGCAAGGCCAGCATAAGTCCAATGATTGTAGCCTCTCAAGGAGAAGTGTGAGCAGCCTCAAAAATCATCTGTAAAGATCTTCGCGTAGTTGCTTGGTTGAACAACCATCTATGACTCTATTTTTGTTACCAAGGACGACATTTTATTTCTACAATTCACACATTCCTAGAGACGGTACAAGGAAGTTTGGTGTAAACATTTTAGTGGGCAAAATGTAAGATTCCTCTTTGTTGTCTGGCTTGCTGTGGCGTGCGAGCAGTACACCACCTACTCCTCAACAAAATTTCCACTCAGATTGCCTCCAAGTCATTACTCTTGATGCCGACTACAGAACAACACGTTGTGTTTATATGATCAAGTAGAAAACTCTGGCTGATTTCTTCATCCATGAGAAACACAATGTATATGAGAATCTCTGTCCTAAGCAGGCAGTTGGCATTAAGTTAAGAAGAAGGTCAATGTTAGCTAATCATGTCCATCCTGTTGTGAAGGACCCTTAGAAACTAGCAACGGACAGCACAACAAATCATTTCCCAGATGAACCAAAGCCTAGAGAACAGCCCTCCAAGAAGACTTAACAAAAATGGTTATAACCGACGGGGCAGCAGTTTACAAACG